CTCGTGTCTCCTTACTGTTGGGAAGGGGGTGAGAGGGAAGGAGGAGAGGGAGGGTAAGGGAAGGGTTTGAAAGAGGGTGAGAGGAGGGTTAAATGAGAGGTTTGGATAAGAAGAAGAGTGAGAAGGGAGGAGAAGGGAAGGGGTGAGGGGAGATAAGAGGGAAAGAACAGATCCTACCACCCCCTCTCTTTATAAAGAACACCTTAACAACACATGAACATACTGAAGAACATTTGGTCACCACTTGAGAACATTATACAACACAATGAACTGAGAACAACCCCCCACTACCACCACCCCCACCACTACTACCCTACCCCACCACCACCACCACCCTACCACCTACTACCCCTACCACAACCACCACCACAGGTCCAGCGTTGCAAATTTCATCAGGAAGCAGAGACTGTGATCCTGCATCCGGCACCCTACCTCCTCTCGCCCTCCCTCTCCTCCCCCCTCCCTCCTCTTCCCTCACCTTAAGCCCCTCCCTCCCCCACCCCCCACAGCGTCTAAATTGCAAACCCGGTTCTTACAAAAAAGCTATACAGATAATGTGGCTGTATAGTGGCTAGACATCTTGAGATCCAGGAAAAAGTCACAAGAAAAAGAGCAGAAAAAACCTAACCTAACCTAAGCTAACCTAATCTAAGCTAAGCTAACCTAACTAACCTAAGCTAAGCTAACCTAAGCTAAGCTAACCTATTAAGCTAACCTAAGCTAAAGCTAACCTAAGCTAACCTAACCTAAGCTAACCTAACCTAAACCTAACCTTAAGCTAACCTAACCTAAACTAACCTAACCTAACTAGCTAACCTAAACTAACCTAACCCTATTTTTTGTTGACTTTATTTCCGTCCCGACATCTTACACACACACACACACACACACACACACACACACGGTCAGGTCATCTGGGTCCAGGTACACAGTTTCACCTGACACGACCCTGAGAGGTCATACGCTTGTTTGGCCAACAGGAGGTAATTGTAACTACTTAACAAGTTAGTGGTAGTTAAAGCCCACCTCCAGTTAACAGCTTCATTACCTCGTTAGTAGGACCTCCAAAGTGATAGTGTAACCTCGATATTTAGAACTGAAGGTGTAGGGTTAACCTTGATATAAGAACTGAAGGTGTAGGAAGTAACCTCGTTATTAAGACTACAAGACTATGTTTTATATGAAAAGTGAAACAATCATTTAACACAATTAAACACACCTAACACCCCCCAACACACCTCTAACACACCCCCAAATACCACTTCCCCAACACACCCTAACACCCCAACACACCTCTAACACCCCCAACACACCCTAACACACCCTAACACCCTAACACCTCTAACACCCCAACACACCTAACACCTACACCCCACAATTATGTAAACATCACACTGTTGTTATTCTGGGAAAGACACTTATGATAACGACTCTTGTTATCGTGTGTTTTACCGCACCGGAGATAAGAGGCGAGATAACACAGCCGCTCACCCCGACACCTGATAACAAGCTGCATCTCCAGTGTTATCTGCCGAGTACTGCGTAGGGCGTCTATCCTGGTGGGGGGTGGGGGGGTGTGAGATGACAGAGAAGTGGGGGAGTGGGCAGAGGGTGGAAGTGTTGAGTGAAGAGGTGAGGACACTCATCTGAAGCGCAGACTGAGATACGTACAGTACGGGAAGACAAAAGAAGAGCAGGAAGGGCGGGAAGACAAGAAGAGCAAGAGGAGAGGAAGACAAGAAGAGCAAGAGGAAGGAGAGATGTTAACGCCTGAGTAAAAAAAAAAACACAGGAAAATCAGCAGACACGAAAATAACATAAAAATCCTTTCTTCTCTTGTGAATCTTCCTTAATAAACCTACTACTCCTTTTAAATAATATAAATTAAGGTCATAAAGCATAAATTTATATCATATAATTTAAATAACTATATAAACCGGACGAACAGTTGGAAATGAGGAAGAAATGCGGGAAATAATGAGGAGGTGATTTTGGCAGGAAATGACTACAGACCCACAATACCAGACCCACAATACCCAGACTGTACCAAACCCACAATGCATCAACAATACATCAGACCCACAATGCCAGACCCACAATGCACCAGACCACAATGCATCAGACCCACAATGCACCAGACCCACAATGCACCAACCACGCATCAGACCCACAATGCACCAGACCCACAATGCACCAGACCCTGATACCCAGACCCACAATGCACCAGACCCCAATGCCAGACCCACAATACCAGACCCACAATGCACCAGACACAATGCACCAGACCCACAATGCACCAGACCACAAAGCACCAGACCCACAATGCACCAGACCCACAATGCCAGACCCACAATCACCAGACCCGATACCCAGACCCACAATGCACCAGACCCACAATGCACCAGACCCTACCAACCCACAATGCACCAGACCCACAATGCCAGACCCACAATGCAGACCCACAATACCAGCCCACAATGCACCAGACCCACAATGCACCAGACCCCAATGCACCAGACCCACAATGCACCAGACCCCAATGCACCAGACCCACAATGCCAGACCCACAATGCACCAGACCCACAATGCACCAAACCCACAATGCTACACCCACAATGCACCAGACCCACAATACCAGACACAATGCACCAGACCCACAATACTGGACCCACAATGCACCAACCACAATGCACCAGACCACAATGCACCAGACCCTGATACCAGACCCACAATGCACCAGACCCACAATGCACCAGACTCCCTACCAGCACCAGACCCACAATGCACCAGACCACAATGCACCAGACCCACAATACCAGACCCACAATGCACCAGACCCACAATGCACCAGACCCACAATGCCAGACCCACAATGCACCAGACCCACAATGCCAGACCACAATGCCAGACCCCAATGCCAGACCCACAATGCCAGACCACTGCACCAGACCCACAATGCACCAGACCCAATACCAGACAAGCACCAGACCCACAATGCCCAGACCCACAATACAATGCACCAGACCCACAATGCACCAGACCACAATGCACCAGACCCACAATGCACCAGACCCACAATGCACCAGACCCACAATGCACCAGACCCACAATGCACCAGACCCACAATGCATAGACCCACAATGCCAGACCCACAATGCCAGACCACAATGCATCAGACCCACAATGCACCAGACCCACAATGCACCAGACCCTGACCACCAGACACCAGACCACAATGCACCAGACCCACAATGCACCAGACCCACAATGCACCAGACCCACAATACCAGACCCACACAATGCACCAGACCCACAATGCACCAGACCCACAATACCAGACCCACAATGCACCAGACCACAATGCACCAGGCCCCAATACCAAACCCACAATGCACCAGACACAATACCAGACCACAATGACACCAAGACCATAATGCACAGAGCCCTAATGCACAGACCCACAATACACACCAGACACAATGCACCAGACCCACAATACACCAGACACAATGCACCAGACCCACAATGCACAGACCACAATACCAGACCCACAATGCACCAGACCCACAATGCACCAGACCCACAATGCACCAGACCCACAATGCACCAGACCCACAATGCACCAGACCCACAATGCACCAGACCCACAATGCACCAGACCCACAATACGAGACCCACAATACCAGAACTATACCAATTTAAATGATATATACGATAAAAAGAAAATGAATTATAGATTATTAATAGAGATAATGATTCATATTAGTGAGGTTATTGATGTATATATTATACTTGATGGTAAATAGACCTTATATTACTGATACAACACAGACACATACATAAATATACACATACATACATATACACATACATAAATATACACATACATACATACATATACACATACATACATACATACATACATACATACACACATACATACATACACATAAATAAATATACACATACATACATACACATACATAAATAAACTCATACACACATACATACATACACATAAATATACACATACACATATATACACACATACATACACACACAGATACACATACACATACATACATATACACAGACACATACATACATATACACATACATAAATATACATGTACACATATACTGTACACACACACACACACACACACACACACACACACACAGGGTCTATTCTCATAGTTGAAGTAAAATAAAAACTTTAATAATATCATTCAGTCAAACAAAGTCGTCACGCCAGAGCCAACCATGGTGAGGCTGACCCATTATTGGTGAGGCTGACCCATTGTGGTGAGGCTGACCCATTGTGGTGAGGCTGACCCATTGTGAGAGCTGACCCATTGTAGTGAGGCTGACCCATTGTGGTGAAGCTGACCATTGTGGTGAGCTGACCCATTGTGGTGAGGCTGATCCATTGTGGTGAGCTGACCCATTGTGGTGAGGCTGATCCATTGTGGTGAGGCTGACCCATTAGTGGTGAGGCTGACCCATTGTGGTGAGGCTGACCCTGTAGTGAGTTGACTCATTGTTGTGAGGTTGACCCATTGTTGTGAGGTTGACCCATTGTGGTGAGGCTGACCCATTGTTGGCTGGCCCATTGAGGTTGACATTGTGGGGCTGACCCATTGTGGTGAGGTTGACCCATTGTGGTGAGGCTGACCCATTGTTGGAGTTGACCCATTGTTGTGAGGTTGACCCATTGTTGTGAGGTTGACCCTTTTTGGTAAGTTGACCCATTGTGGTGAGGCTGACCCATTGTGGTGAGGCTGACCCATTGTGGTGAGGCTGACCCATTGTGGTGAGGCTGACCCATGTATGTGGTAGAGTTTAGTCACCTGTAACAATAGGAAGTGTTAGTGGTGGTGGTGGTGGTGATTATGGTAGTAGTGATTGTGGTGGTGTATTGGTGGTTGTGGTGGTAGTTCAAACACAGACAAGCACAGCACAAAACACAAACACAAACACAAACATCAACATAAGAACATAAGAATGAGGAAACTGCAGCGGGCCTATTGACCCATACTGGGCAGTCCGTTTACACCCAACCTATTGCTCATATAAGCATCCAACCTGTGTTTGAAGCTATCCAGTGTATTCGAGTTAATGAGTATTTGGTAACTTTTCCAGTCATCCACTACTCTGTTTCCAAACCAGTGTTTACCTATTTCACGCCTAAATCTAAATTTGTCTAATTTAAAACCATTGTTACGAGTTCGCTCCTGGTTGGAGCGAATAAAACACACACACACACACACACACACACACACACACACACACATCCAAACAGACACACAACTGGACAATGCTGGGTGGGTTCTCACTATCACTTTCGCTTTCATAAATTTCCACAAAGCCGAGATAAAACATCATGTATGTCTCTATGCGTGTGTGTGTATGTGAGTATGTGAGTGTGTGTATGCGCGTGCGTGCTTGTGTGCATCAACTCTTTCATACGGTCGAAAATCCTCTCCACTCCCCATCAATTACCACCTCGCCCTCACAAACACCAACACGTAAATAACATCTTTCTTCATATAGTCATACATTATATAGCTCTATAATATAACACTATAACCCCTGATATAACAAAACTCGGAGGAATAACATGCTTAACATCAAGGCTAATAAGGTCGTTTTTCTCATATGATTTCTGTGGTATAGTGAGTCTTATGGAAGGGTAAGGGTTGTGGCCTGTTATGGTGAGGTTGGTGGAGTTTTCCTGTTTTTTACACACACACACACACACACACACATTCACACACACACACACACACACACACACACACACACACACACACACACACACACACACACACACACACACACACACACTTCCTACCGACATAAATATTCTATCACATGAACAAATAATAAATACCCAAATAACTAACAAAACAACAATCTTTTATTAAGAGAAAATTACATTAAATAACATTGAAATTAATTATATTTAACTTGTAATATTTCCGGCCAAATAATATTATCCATTAAGTAAATAGCATAGTTATTTTCTATTAGTCTTCTATTTAATTTACGTCTATAATTAATTCAAGAGGAAAACTACAATTAAGCTGGGAAAATATTTTAAAAGTCTATTGACCTATGCATATATTATACACCCTTGTTCCAGTAATATTCTCACCTAACTCCCAATATGAGACAATTATCCGTAAATAATAATCGAGATATATATTTAATAATTACCAATAGAAGGAAAAATAATTATATCCTCCCTGGTGTCTTTTAACCTCGATAGAGAAGCGGAAATAGGTAGAAAGGCAATGTAATCGAGGTCTCGCTGAAATGTTTCCCCGCGCAGGTTTTGGCGGGAAAGAGAGTTCGTTAACCCTTCTCTCATCTCGTTAATTCATAATAAATCGTGTAATTCAGGAAGCTGGGAGAATAAAAGGGATGTAAGTAGGATATAAAACAACTAATAATGTATTTGTTGAGTGGGGAGAGCCAGAAGGTGTGATAAAGACAGGACAAGGAGGGAGTGGAGAGGAACGCATATCATCAAGGACTCTGTGGTGAGCGATAATTTGGCGCGCTTCTACCCTCTGGTTTTGAATGTGTGTGTGTGTGTGTGTGTGTGTGTGTGTGTGTGTGTGTGTGTCTATGCTTTGTTCCTGTCTCTTTTCTCTCTCTCTTTCTCTTCCTCCTCACTCTTTCTCTCTACTCCTTATTATTTCACTCATCTTATGTAAATACTAAAATCATTAATTACTTTCAATATTAACCTAAGCTATTAATTACTACTATATAATACCTATTTAATTGATCATGACATTAATTTACAACAGTTCAGAAGAAATTAACTACAACACTTAGGTTGAATTAAATATTGAGTTAAGTTATCTTAGAAATTAACATTGAATAAGCGTGTATACAACCCAACAACAACCCAACAACAACAACCCAACAATAACAACCCAACAATAACAACCCAACAACAACCCAACAACAACAACCCAACAACAATAACAACTACAACCCAACAACAACAACCCAACAACAACCCAACAACAACAACCCAACACAACTCCAACAACAACAACCCAACAACAACCCAACAACACAACCAACAACAACCCAACAACAACAACCCAACAACAACAACCCAACAACAACAACCCAACAACAACCCAACAACAACCCAACAACAACAACCCAACAACAACAACCCAACAACAACAACCCAACAACAACCCAACAACAACAACCCAACAACAACAACAACCCAACAACAACCCAACAACAATAACCCAACTACAACCCAACAACAACAACCCAACAACCCAACAACAACCCAACAACAACCCAACAACAACAACCCAACAACAACAACCCAACAACAACAACCCAACAACAACCCAACAACAACAACCCAACAATAACAACCCAACAATAACAACCCAACAACAACAACCCAACAACAACAACCCAACAACAACAACCCAACAACAACCCAACAACAACAACCCAACAATAACAACCCAACAACAACAACCCAACAACAACAACAACAAACAACAACTCAACAACAACAACCAACAACAACAACCCAACAACAACAACCCAACAACAACAACCCAACAATAACAACCAACAACAACCCAACAACAACAACCCAACAACAACAACCCAACAATAACAACCCAACAACAACAACCCAACAACAACCCAACAACAACAAACCCAACAACAACAACCCAACAACAACCCAACAACAACCCAACACAACCCAACAATAACAACCCAACAACAACCCAACAACAACAACAACCCAACAACAATAACCCAACAACAACCCAACAACAACCCAACAACAACCCAACAACAACAACCCAACAACAATAACCCAACAACAACCCAACAACAACAACCCAACAATAACAACCCAACAATAACAACCCAACAACAACAACCCAACAACAACAACCCAACAACAAACAACCCAACAACAACCCAACAACAACAACCCAACAATAACAACCCAACAATAACAACCCAACAACAACAACCCAACAACAACAACCCAACAACAACAACCCAACAACAACCCAACAACAACAACCCAACAACAATAACCCAACAACAACAACCCAACAACAACAACCCAACAACAATAACCCAACAACAACCCAACAACAACAACCCAACAATAAAGAACTCAACAATAACAACCCAACAACAACCCAACAACAACAACCCAACAACAATAACCCAACTACAACCCAACAACCCAACAACAACCCAACAACAACCCAACAACAACAAACTAACAACAACAACCAAACAACAACCCAACAACAACAACCCAACAACAACAACCCAACAACAACCCAACAACAACAACCCAACAACAACCCAACAACAACAACCCAACAACAACAACCCAACAACAATAACCCAACAACAACCCAACAACCCAAACAACAACAACCCAACAACAACAACCCAACAACCCAACAACAACAACCCAACAACAACAACCCAACAACAACAACCCAACAACAACCCAACAACAACAACCCAACAACAACCAAACAACAACAACCCAACAACAACCCAACAACAACCCAACAACAACAACCCAACAACAACAACCCAACAACAACCCAACAACAACAACCCAACAACAACAACCCAACAAATAACCCAACAACAACCCAACAACAACCCAACAAC